TGAATTTTTCTTATTAATGGATGCTTCACCTTTACATTCATCTTTTTCATATTGTAACTCCTCACAATTAAGGGTTAATTCCTCACCATTAGAAGGTCATTCATGATCCCACTAAAGGTCATTCAAAAAACTATTAAGGTGTCATTCAAGAGACCATTAAGGTACCATTCGTTCTCTCATTTATTCCTATTGAATGGCAAATGTAACTCTCCCATGTCCCTTAGCCTATATATATAGGCCTACAAATTTGTATGATCTGTACGTGGAAGAGAAAATAGTGAAATAAGAAACTCTCCCTTTTATTTGTCATCTTGCTACTCTACCTCTTATTTTATAATACTTTATTAGGACGATTGTCTCCACCATTCCATTTGTGACAAGTTCTTAAGGTAATCATTTGTTTTTCTAATTTCAATTTGATTTTAGTCTAACGAATTTTTGTAGCCACAATGTCAAACTTGACAAAACTTGAATTTGTTGCCCTTGATATAATGAGCTCAAATTATTTGCCATGGATACTTGATGCTGAAATCCATTTGGCTGCAAATAATCTTGATAAAACAATTGTTGAGGGAAATCAAATCTCTTTACAAGATGGCACTAAAGCGTTGATATTCCTTCGCCATCATCTCCATGAGGGATTGAAGGTTGAATATTTGACAATCAAAGATCTATTTGAATTATGGCAGATATTTGAAAGAAAGATATGATCACCAAAAATCAATGATACTGCCAAAAGCTCGTTATGAATTGATGCATCTGCGATTGCAAGATTTTAAATCTGTGAATAAGTATAACTCTGCAGTATTCCGCATTTCATCTCAATTAAAATTATGTAGTAAAAATATTACTAATGAAGACATGTGGGAGAAAACATTCTCCACTTTTTAGGTCTTGAATTTGCTTCTTCAGCAACAATATCGAGAGCGTGACTTTAAAAAATATTCAAATTTAATATCATGTTTTCTTGTTGTTGAACAAAATAATAAACTTTTGATAAAAAATCATCAGTCATGGCCTACTAGTTTAGCCCCATTACTTGAGGCAAATGCAATCTTATATAATAATTATGGGCATGGTCGATGCTGTCATCATGGTCGTAATCGTGGCAATAACCATGGCCGAGGGCATGCTCGCGGTTGAAATAATACTTGGCTTTGCAGTAGTTTCAACCCCAAATATGAATTAGTTGAACAAAAGAATGTAAGGGGTAGAAATTTACAAAAGAATCCTACAAAAATTTCTAAAAAGTTTTTGTTATCGATATGGAGCAAAATGACATTGGGAGCGTGCTTATTGCACTGCTATGTATTTGGTTAATCTTTACCAAGCCTCACTTAATGAAAAAGGAAAAGGAAAAGATCTAGAAATGAATTTCATTGAGCAAAATAATGTGGATTTTGATATACACCTTGATGTTGCTAATTTTTTTAAGGGTGTTGAAAAGCTTAATGATGTTGGTGATACCCAACCAAGAGTTTGACTTATTATGTCCTCTTAAATAATTTACCCTTTGTGGCTATTTCCCTTTTTCTATATGTATTGTTCTTTTTATATTCAATAAAAGAATAATCATTTCAGAATATATATTGATTATTTGTCGCTTCTGTTTCATATGTCTTTATTTAAGACCAAATGGACGTGGATGATGTTAAGATGAAAGATGGAGACTTATGTCTTGTTGACAGTGGCACAACACATACCATCTTGGGAAATAAAAATTATTTTTCTCAATTAAAGTTAACTAAGGCTAATATTCATACAATATCTGGTATGACAAAGTTGATTGAAAGCTTTGGAAAACCTCGCATTTTATTGCCTAGAGAAACAAAATTATTAATACACGACACTTTATATTCTAGTAGATCAAATCGAAATCTATTAAGTTTTAAAGATATACATTGTAATGGTTTCCATATTGAAACCATGGATGAGAATGGAATAGAATTCCTCCATGTCACAACTTTGACATTTGGAAAAAAGAAAATATTGGAGAAAATGTTAATATTCTCTTCTAGATTGTATTATACATATATATATCCAATAGAATCCAATGTTGTGACTAATAAAAAAATAGTCAATCTAGATGCCTTTATCCTTTGGCATAATCGACTTGGTCATCCGGGTGCTATTATGATGCGGAGAATTATAGCAAGTTCACATGGACACCCATTGAAGAACTTGAAAGTTCTATTATTGATTGATTTTTCGTGTTGCTTGCTTCCTTGGTAAATTAATTGCCAGGCCTTCTGCAACTAAAATAGAAAATGAATCTCCTCCATTTTTGGAGCGAATTCAAGGAGATATTTATAGACCTATAAATCCGCCATCTGGACCATTTCGATATTTTATGGTGTTAATGGATGCTTCAACAAGATAGTCACATGTTTGCCTATTGTTTACAGGCAATGTTGTGTTTGCAAGACTACTTACACAAATAAATGGAGGGCACAATTTCTTGATTATACAATCAAAAGGATCCAACTTGATAATGTAGGAGAATTTACATCCCAATCATTAAATGATTATTGTATGTCAATTGAGATTACTGTTGAGCATCCAATTCCTCATATGCATACACAAAATGGTCCAGCTGAATCCCTTATTAAACGTATGTAATTAATTGCAAGACCACTGCTTATGAAGTCAAAGTTATCCTCTTCTGCTTAGGGCCATGCTATATTGCATGCTGCAACATTCATTTGATTAAGGCCAATTGCTTATCATAAGCATTCACCATTACAACTTGTTTTTGGGATTGAACCAAATATATCCTATTTAAAAGATTTTTGGTTGTGCTGTATATGTTTCTATTACTCATACACAGCGCACTAAAATGGGTCCCCAAAGAAGGCTGGGAATTTATGTTGATTTTGAATGACCATCTATAATTACATATCTTGAACCAATGACTGATGATCTCTTCATAGCGAGATTTGCTAATTGTCATTTTGATGAAAATTTGTTCCCAAAATTAGGGGGAGAGGAACAAAAGTTGAAGAAACAAGAATTAACTTGGGATGCATTATCTATATCTCATTTAGACCCTCAAATAGGTCAAAGTGAACTAAAAGTTCAGAAAATTATTCATTTACAAAAGATTACAAATCAATTGCTTGATGCATTCACTAATGAAAAGAAGGTAAGTAGTTCACACATCCAAGTTTTGATTGCTTCTGCTCGAATTGATATTCCTGTTCAAAAAGGTGCTAAATTATTAGTAAATGAATCTACTATACGCCAAAAGCATGGTAGACCTGTCGATTCCAAAGATAAAAATCCAAGAATCAAGAGAAAGCAGAATGTTGGCTCTATTGAAATTGTAGAGACTCAAAAGTTCTCTAGACAACTGCCAGAAAATGCATCTAAAAAAATAATTCCAGAAAAGGTTCAAGTTGTTGAAAATAATGAAGATGCAGATTTGTAGATGATGATGAGATATCAATAAATTATATTTCCACTAGGATCAAGTGGAATCAAAATAATGTTATCATTAACGATGTTGTTGCATTTGCAATAGCAAATGATATAGTCAATAAAAATGTGGATCTTGAACTGAAATCCATTGAAGAATGCCAACAAAGAAGTGATTGGCCAAAATGGAAAGATGCAATTCAAGCAGAATTGAAATTATTAGAAAAACGCCAAGTTTGCAGACCAATTGTCCAAACACCTAGTAATGTAAAGCCTGTCGGTTATAAATGGGTGTTTCTAAGAAAACAAAATGAGAAAAATGAGGTTGTGAGATACAAAGTCAGACTGGTAGCTCAAGGCTGTACACAAATATTTTGTATTGATTATAAGAAAACATATTCTCCTGTGATTGATGCAATTACATTCAGGTTTGTAATAAGTTTAGCAGTTTCTAAAGGCCTTCAAATGCGCCTTATGGATGTTGTAACTGCTTACTTATACGAATCATTTGATAGTGACATTTATATGAAAGTCCTTGTTGGACTTAAAATGCTTGAAGCATACAACTCAATGCCAAGAGAGATATTTTCAATAAAATTAAAATGGTCTTTGTATGGGTTGAAACAATCAGGACGAATGTGGTACAATCGCCTAAGTGAATATCTCCTAAAAAAGGATATGAAAATAATCCTATTAACCCATGTGTCTTTACCAAGAGGTCAAAATTTGGTTTGGCTATTATTGCTGTATATGTTGATGATATAAATATCATTGGGACACCTGGAGAGGTTGAAAAGGCAGTTGAATGTTTTAAAAAAGAATTTGAGATGAAAGATCTCGGAGTAACAAATTTTGCCTTGGTCTACAGATCCAACACTTATCAAATGGAATTTTTGTCTATCAACAAAATTATGTTGAAAAGATATTGAAGAGATTCAATATAAACAAATCTCATCCTTTAAGCTCTCTAATGGTTGTTCGATCCCTTGATGTAAAGAAAGATCCTTTTCGACCTTGTGAAGATAACGAAGAAATTCTTGATCCTAAGGTACCATATTTAAGTGCCATAGGTGCATTGATGTATTTGGCTAACAATACGCGACCTGATATCACATTTCCTGTGAATTTGTTAACAAAATATAGTTATGCACCAACACGAAGACCTTGGAATGGCATTAAACATTTATTTCGCTATCTTCAAGGAACAAAAGACATGGGATTATTTTACTCAAAGCACTCAAACCAGAGTTAATTGGATATGCATATGCTGGATATTTGTCTGATCCACATAAAGGGAGATCACAAACTAGATATTTGTTCACATATGGTGGTACTGCAATTTCTTGGTGTTCAACCAAACAGATTGTTGTTGCCACATTCTCAAATCAATCAGAATTAATTGCTCTATATGAGGCTAGTTGAAAATGTGTATGGTTTAAGATCTTTGATCCTGCATGTTCAAGAAATATGTGGTCTTAAAACAATTACAGGAAATTCAACCTTATTATATAAGGACAATACTGCATGCATTGCACAAATAAAGGGAGGATTCATCAGAGGAGATAGAACCAAGCATATTTCTCCAAAGTTTTTCTCTACACATGAACTTGAAAATGCTGGTGAAATAGAAGTTCAGCAAATTAGTTCAAATGAAAATCTTGTAAATCTTTTCACAAAGTCACTGCTTAACCAAAGTTTTTGAACAACTTATACACAAGATAGGCATGCAACGCCTTAAAGAACTTCGTTGAAATGAGGGGGAGTTTTATACACACTTCACTCTTTTTCCCTTTGCTATGGTTTTTATCTCACTAGGTTTTTCTTGACAAGGTTTTTCATGAGGCAATTTAAAAGCGTATAGAACATAAAATGTGAGCATCCAAGGGGTAGTATTATAAGTTTTTCTTATTAATGGATGCTTCACCTTCACATTCATCTTTTTCATATTGTAACTGCTCATAATTAAGGGTTTATTCCTCACCATTAAAGGGTCATTCATGATTCCACTAAAGGCTGTTCAAAGGACCATTAAGGTGTCATTCAAGAGTCCATTAATGTGCTATTCATTCTCTCATTTAGTCCTATTGAATGGCAAATGTAAACCCTCATGTCCATTAGCCTATATATAGAGGCCTACAAATTTGTATGATTTGTACATGGAAGAAAATAGTGAAATAAGAAACTCTCCATTTTGTTTGTCATCTTGCTACTCTAGCTCTTATTTTATAATGGTGATGACCTTATTTACACATTTTTTCATATTTTGAGGCTTGCTAGCTTGCGATTTCAAAATCTTATAGATTTTTCAACCCCAGTATTAAATTGTATAAAAAATTAACAATTATCATATAAATTATTTTAATTTAAATAATAAATTGTACAATATAAGATAGTACTCCTCTTTCCAAACCTTTCACCAACCATTCTAAAATTTGAATTAAAAATATTTAATATAAAAAACTCAAATTCTTTATCATTAAAATGTTGATCTTTTGTAAGTGTACCTCCTGTCGATCATAGAATTTAAAAAATGCACCGACTACAAAAAATAGAAGCTTTCAAGTCTAATTCGACTGCTACAAATCAATGGTTGCCACATACAAGATGAATTGAATTATGGAAAATAAAGATGGGACTTACTGTAAATCAGTTGACCAACACTCCCCTTTTTTTTATCTTCCATTCAGCTTCCACCATTAAATAGTTGATGAAAACAAAACATGATAAACTAAGCACCAATTAATTACTCTTTCTAGTTTCTAGAGCAAAGCGTCAACAATTTTCTATTTTCTTCACAACAACAAACAATTGAGAGTGCCCTTCAATTCCACTATTACATCCAAATTTCCTCAGGTTGTTTTTATTTTTTAAAGGTTTGTCAGATATCTTCATGTCATTTTGGCTGCTCCTCCCATTTGGAGTAATGTTAAGGATATACTCTTAAATTCATTCGATAATTTAAGAAATTTAAAATTTTCAAAGCATGCAATGGTCTCCTATTCAAGTAAATGAACTTTGGGATTTATCTTAACATGTCCTTTAACTCCTCAAATTGTACAACCAACCTACGAAAGTTTTAATAACATTTTTCTCAAAATAGCTTCTTTTTTAAATAATCAACTAATGATATTGTTGTTTAATTTGGCAATTAGCATCTTCATAACACTGTTTTTATTTTTTATATTAAAAAAAATAAACATAATGTTATAAGATATTATAATTTTAAATAATAATATATTATCATACAATTGACTCATTTTATTTAAACAATTAATACAAAATATCATGTGCACACGTTATATCATTCCCGTTTCTATGTTATCATAATCATATGCTACAAATAGAATAGAATATGTTGGGGTATCAAGCAATGCACTAATTATTGAAATAAATGGGGGAAATTTCAATGGAAATAACTAAGTGAATAAAATATATTTTTGATAGTAACTAAATGAATAAAATAAAAACAAAACCCACAAAAATAATGAATGTGGGGCCACTTATAGCAGAAAATACTTCAATGATATAGATAAGATTCAATTTTATAATAATTTTTTAAACAATTCATACTTTCATAAAATAGACTGATAATATGTTATTTCGAATAAAAAAAAGATTCGACTCCTTTTAAAATCTCATGTTTGACTTCTATGAACTTTAATAGATTTGATTTTAACTTAATTAAAATTTAACGTAACCTTGAACTTTCAACGGATTAGTAGAAAAAAAAAAAAAAAAAAAAAAAAAACTTTCATGGAAAGGATAATTATAGTTTGTCCTTCAGGAATGCTCGTGAAGTCATCATCGACCTTTAAAAGCGGGCAAAGTGATCCTTAACCTTTTAAAACCTAGCAATATAGTCTATTTTTACACCAAATTGTCAATTTGGATAAAGAGAAAAACAGAACTCATTAATATAAGCGGTTAGTTCTCATAGGATGCTGTGTGGGCTCTCTAGCGTGGGAAAGCTCCCACCTATGTTGACTTCTAGAAACTTATTATCTTAAAAGATGAAATCAAAGGTTTTGTTTTTGTAACAATAATATAATTATATTATTATGTAAAATTTTAAATTTATTTATAATTATAATATGTTATTATTATGTAGAAAAAAGTTATAATATATTATTAAATAATTTAATGCATATAATAAAAAAATAATCATAAAATTTTATAATTATAATGTTATAATGACACAATATCTATCCATATTGTCTTCTTATTTTGATTTGAATTTGCAGCACTTTTCTATAATAAAGAGTTTGCATCCTACATTGACTTTGTGGGTTGAATTTTGTAAGACAAATTGCACTTGCCCAATGCGCGCAGATAGGCAAAATGGATTGGATGGCAAAGCTATAAATGTTAGGGACCCCATTGCTCAGTCTCAAAGCATAAGGAAAATTTGCAAGTACCCTGAAGGTTGAGGACTAAATTTGATGTTTAAGCTTTCACCCAGAGAGTGGGAATTCTTATCTTTTTTATTCTCCAATGAAAAAGATTTCTAATTTCTTAAAATGGATTCCCCAGCTCTGATTGGGAAATGGTGGGGATGGTGGTGGGGAAGGAGAAGTGTTGGGTTAAAGAGAAGCTAGAAAAACAGACACAACAAACAACAATCAAAGGGAAAAACAAACCCATAATTAAAGGTAAAGGTGGCTGTGTCTTTTCTGTTTCCCTATCTCTCTACCTCTCCTTCTTATCATCATGTAATCATCCTCTTCTCTCAATTTCAGGGTTTGTTATTTCTGATCATGGATCATAGCATTCCCTCCATATAGATTATATAGAAGAGGGGAATTCATAGCTCAGCCTTGTTCATTTCATGGCTATTTCTTCAATTTCTTGACCCATTTATTTTGACCATTTCCAATTTCCATTAATGGAGGTAAAACCCATGTCTTCCTGCATTGTAAAGTTGCTTTCTTTCCTTTCTTTTTGATGAATTCCGTTTGGGTGTCTGGATTTGTATCTTTATTCAATTTCAAGATCCATTTCTCATTTGGGTTTCTTTTGTTGAATGTTCAAAAGGTTTTAGCTTTTTAGGAACTGGTTTAATTTTGTACCCCTTTGGGAATTTTGACTCACAGGTTTTAGCTTTTCTCAATTCCTTTTTTTTTTTTTTTCCTTTTCTCCTCTTATTTAGTTCTGAAATGCAACATCTATAACCTCTTTATGGGTTAGTCTTTGTTTGTCTTTTTTCCTGGCTTTGAGTTGAATCTATATGAGCTAGGTAGAGTTTTTGCTTGACAGTGTGTATCCAAAATGTAAAACATGAAATTTTATTTGAGAAGAAATGTTTAATAGCATTACTCTAGGTCTTGATTTGATGATAATTCCATATATCTTCTCTTTGAGGCGTAAATGACACGAATCAGGCAATCAGCTGGAATATCTACGTAATTTTAATTTTATAGTTAGTTTTGGTCTCGCTTTCAGTTTACCTGAAACATGTGAAAGCTATCAATGTGAAAGCTATCAATGTAAAATTTACTACTTTATTAAAAGGGGATAGGGTTCTTGTCTGTTATTTTGTTTATTCTTATGTTAATGGGTGTACCCTATGGTATTTTAGAAAGAATACTGGAAATCCAGAACAAGATCATTCTAGGTGGTTGAAAGAAATAATTAACATCCCAATTGTTGGTGTAAAAAATTTGTGGGTGCCTAGTTGAAGTTAGTATCCAGCATTTGTTGAGTTGGGTGTTGCAATTTCTACAAGGCATAATAACTTCTTCAAGTTTCTTCATCAGTGTAAATTGTTTACATATAAAATTTGTGAAATCAGAAATGGTTGCCTTTGATATTCTGTTGCATCAATTAAAGCTAAGTGTAATAGGTTATCTTATTACCTTCTGGGGAAACTAAATTTCAGTATGCAGTGTCTAAATTGATATAATTGGTTTCTTTGGAAGGTTGGAAGGATGGAGGAAGCTAAGAGTCCTGATGATCATATGACATCAGCTGCTGCCTTTGTGGAAGGAGGGATTCAGGATGCCTGTGATGATGCTTGCAGCATATGCCTTGAGGAGTTTTCTGAAAGTGACCCTTCGACGGTAATTTCTAGTATCATTTTTATTCTACTTTAATTGTACATTTTCACCAGTCACTACCATCAGACATAGTGATCCAAAGCAGTATTTTCATTTCTTTCTTTTGTATGGGCCTCAATTTAATTGTTTTTCCTTCTTGGATTTCAGCTGACTAATTGCAAGCATGAATTTCACCTCCAGTGCATTCTTGAATGGTATAACTCATAAGTTCTAAACTTTCAACTTTTTTTTTTTTTCTTTGTTCAAATTCATTTTGAATTTATCATTATCTAAGTATCTGTTGTATTTATTATTCTCACTTCCATAATTGTTACTGATTCTTTCCCACTTATTGGATTCATTTTAGGTTATATATTAAAAAATTTTGTTCTACCTCTTATTTGAATGATCAGCAGCTTAGCTGCAAAGTTGATTTGAAGTCAGTTCTAAAAACTCAGGCTGGGTCCCTGATTGGTAAACGAATGACATGAAATAATGGAATCTGTACAACTTCTTGCTTATTATACCATTTGTAAGAAAAATTTTAATTTCCTTCTATGCTGCTATATTTCTTGGTAGGGATATATTCACCTGTTAAGTTGTTTAGTACATACACATGTCAAATTTATCTCGATTTGTGCAAAGGGATTGGATCTGGATGATTAATATGTTTATTTTTGAAGTGTGCACCACTATTAGAAGGGAAAAATTTTGATAATGTTGGGTTAACACCTTATGTCGGTTCCTAATTTTATAGGTGCCAGAGAAGCTCTCAATGTCCCATGTGCTGGCAGCACATTAGCCTAAAGGAACCCACGAGGTTGATTTTGAACATGTAGATGCCTTTTTACTTTTTAACATTTATGTAGTTAGCTAATGTGTACATGGTGGCAGCCAAGAATTGCTTGAAGCAGTAGAAAGAGAAAGACGCTTTAGGGCTATTCCATCAAGAAATGCAATGATATTTCACCATCCCACCCTTGGTGCTTTTGAATTGCAACATGTACTTTGTCCTTCCTTTCTGCTTAGAGTCTTTGCTATATTTTTTTGGTTATAAAACATTAGATAATGTGGTAATGCCCTGAACTGATAATACTTATGCAATGTTGCACATTACTGCAGTTACCAGTTGGTGCTAATGATTCTGATCTGGAAGAACGTATAATTCAGCACTTGGCAGCAGCTGCTGCTATGGGAAGGTCTCGCCATACTGGTAGGAGGGAGGGACACAGAACTCGATCATCTGCTCATGGTCATCCACACTTATTGGCATTTCCCACTCATCCCAATGCAGCACATCCAGGTTCTGCTTCATCCCTTTTGACTCATTCAGGAGGGGAAACTGAACTGGCTGGAATGGCTGCAGTCAGTCCATCTGCCCCATTATCTTCTGGTGGTACTGAATCATTGCAGCAGGGCTTGCAGTTACCTTCAGGTCCAATTAATCATAATCATTCCTCTGCTTCAGGATCTTCTGCTAGTCAATTGCCCAGACAGGGATTTCCCTTAAATAATCGGTATTCAATTCTTCTTCTCTTAGTTTTTTGATGGACTTTTGTAGTGCTTGCATTAGCTTTCTGATTATGTATCTTATGTCTGTAGAAGCACTTCTAGTAATTCCTTTCTGTCAAATCAAGAGAGAGCGGGATCATCAGATTTCCAGTCATTTTCAGAATCTCTAAAATCTAGATTCAATGCAGTGTCAACAAGGTATTGTAGGCAAAGCCATCTTATGGTAACTCTTAGTCAGTGTGACCAGTTTGAGTTTGAGACACAACATGAGTGCACAAGTGCACACACTAAATTATGTACATTTTTCCACCAATATTGATAATTCTTCTGGAGTTTCAGGTATAAAGAATCAATCTCAAAGAGTACAAGAGGCTGGAGAGAGAGGCTGTTCTCCCGTACCTCATCCATGTCTGATCTTGGCTCTGAAGTTAGAAGAGAAGTAAATGCTGGAATGGCTAGTGTATCTCGCATGATGGAACATCCTGAAACCAGAGGAAACAATAGAGCTAGTGATGGAGCTCCTGTTTTGGGTGAGAGTTCAGTTACAGAGGAAAACAACCAACAAAATACTGAAACTCATGGAGAAAGCGCTTTGAATAGCTGCAATATCCAAGCATCTTGTGCTGCAGGTTCAGTTTCAAGTTAAGTTGTAAATATTTTTCAGAAACTGCATCTATCCTCAGCATTTCATCTCTGTAGGTGAGTACTGATTCTTATTTTATTTAACTTGTTATTATTTTTTGGATTAGTAAAATTACTTCAGTACAGAACTTACTAAATATGATCAATATCTTCAGTCCATTTTCAGGATAATAATGCACACCATAAGTTATTATTATTATACAAGTCTTTATGAAGAAACCTCTTGAAGTTGAGTGCAGTATATTTAATTTCATTGTTGTACAGAATGCTCAAGAGTTGTGTTTGGATTTTCAGGTTGTTGATCCCATTTCTTCAGAAATGACATGCTGAGGAGAAGATGCTTTACATTTCATGGCATCGTCATCTGAATCCTAATAAAGAGGTAAAATCTGAGTAAGAGCCTCCATCCGGACAAACAACTTTTCTATGGTTTTATGTATTTGTACATAAATTCTATCTACAACCTGTTCAAGTGCACACATCATATGGATTTAACTTTGTCTGGATGGGTGATTTGAACACCTTTTTATTTATTTATCTTTAAACCCAAGTGACTGGAATTGAAACAATAATAAATGGATGAGTTTTTTTGGGTAATCTGGGTGTAGAATATTATGTTGTTGTTCAGAAACTAGGAGTTGCTTTTTCCTTTATGGCATTTTCATACTCATTTGAGCTTCTTGACCTGAACATGTCAGCCTGAGTTCGAACCATGGAACAAGTGGGACAGATTTAGGGGACGAAAGGGATATTGGGATCTCCTATTCTATAACTTGCAACTTAATGAAATTGTTTCAAAACAAGTTCCCTTAGTTAAACTGTTTTAGTGTGAAAATATGAAGTTAAGATGTTTTTTATTCAAATGTTTGGGATGGTTGGGGATGAAGGCAGAAAATCAAAGGATTATATTTATCGGTTTTTTATTTTATTTTATTTTATTTTATTTTTATGTCAGATGATGAGCTATACAATAGAGAATGGTTTCTCTTCTCAAATCCCTTTTCAGCCATCATAAAAATTGAATTTAAGATTTTTAATATGAAGACTTAAGCTCTTTACTATTGAGACTGAAACAATTACTGCATGTGTAGTTCACACAGCAATGCATCAGAAACAGCATACTCCTCACTCAAATTTGATGGTTACATGTAATCCGATTTGAGCCAGTCAACAAGAAAAGTAGATCAATCTTTAGGTGTTGGGCTCTGTACAATCTAAATTGGGCCACGAATTTAGGGCTCCAATATTTGGTAGGAGTGAAGGCCTAAACAGACTTCTAAATTTGCTGACATGTTATTTGATTTGGGCCAGACAACAAGCAAAGTAGATGAATCTTCCAGTGTTGGGCTCAGTACAGATGGGTCCTCATTGGGTAATCGCAGTAATAAGAGCACATTTGTGTTACTTCTCAGACCCATTAAGGAGATTGAGACATCCAGTCCAGCGTGGAGGTTGAGAATTTTTTTTTTT